TTTATTCTATTAACAGCATGCTTTTTGTTACTTTATATTATTTGATGTTTTTTTATTAGCATTGTTTTTGCATGCGTCTCTTGGCTAGTTTTATTAACATGCATGTTTTTTGTAAACTTACACCATTTATTATTAAGGCGTACACTTTTTTCTTTTGTATTTATTGCATGCTTTTATTTTTTCGTTGTTCTCACTCTTTTTTTATTAGTTGTGTTTTTGCATGCATTTTTCGGTTAATTCTATTAACTGCATGCTTTTTGTAACTTTTTCTCATGTATACTTTTTTCTTTTGTATTTATTGCATGCATTTTTCGATTAATTCTATTAACTGCATGCATTTTGTATCTTTACTCATAGATTTGTTATTATGGCGCACATTTTTTTTGTATTTAAATGCATGCTTTTTTTGTTGGCCTCACTCATTTCTATTAACATCTTTGTTGCATGTGTGTTGAGTTTATTCTATTAACTGCATGCTTTTTGTAACTTTGTTTATATTATGAATGCTTTCTTTTAAATCTTTAAATTTAAGATTGTTTCTCGATGAAGAATTATGAACTGTAATCTCGGTGAATAATTATGAAGAGAAGACAAAAAACTAAGGGATAATTAGTTAGTAACTTGAGCTAATTTACCTTTAGCATTTATTATATTATCAATTCAAAGTATAACTAATAGAAGTGTTTTAATTTAATTCTTTATATAATTAAAGTAATAACTTATAAACATTTGAGATTTGACAATTAATACATTTATAAAGCATAACATGCTCGTAGTAGGAGTCATTCCACTTCATTCATATTTCTATGCTCATACCAAGATCTTTTGCATAACCCTTCATGCTGGTAAGTTTGATAACATACGTTTTATTCTTGTCTAAGTACCGCATGAAATTTGTTGTGCCAAAATTATCTTTAGATTGTTTACTATCGTTTATTTGCATTTAAAAAAGCTAATTCTCTGATACGATTATCAAGAGTGGAGAAAATCAATGCTAATAAAAATCTCCGTTGACGGTATAAATGTTACTCTATTCCCTCATTTGTTTGTCTTCTTATTTATTCACCATCTTCAAAGCACATAAAGCGTTCTTTCTTATTACGCCAAATAGTTTATTCCAGCCAGCTTGACAATGCATTTACAACTGAGATACCAACACCATGTACCACGTAAATCCGTCAGAAACCTTATAGGTATATTGCTACCAGATTCGTGCACTAGGGTCATAATTATTATTATGTGCTGATATTCCTTCTTCATGACAATATCAGCTCAAATGCTACAACCATTATCAGTCACAGATACTCACCTATTGCTAACCTCAATTTTGCCATAATACCCGAGCACTAAAGACTCACCTACACCTTATATTATCAACAACCTCATATATGCAAGCCAGACCCATCACCAGGTATCTCACCCCTCTCTCCCCCCGCCCCCTCCCCCTCAACGTACATACCTGGATGGACGCTTCCTTACAATACCATGACCTCTTAAGATTTTTATTGCACCAGCGTTATTAAGTTACTACTTCCCATACAAACTTTTCCATTCTATTTATAAATGTTAATATTTTATATATTATTAAATAACGTTGACATTAGAGAACGAACTACTTTGTGTATAACGGTGACGCAGTTGATATACGGATTGGATAGAAGGATTCGAACCCCGGCACAGCGACACCGAAGACCGCTGCCTTACCACTTGGCCACGCCTACCCCAACATATTCACTTCTGTAACAACATACTATTACTCACCAATTAGTATGATTTATTTCTTCTATAGGTATTATTAACAATAACTTACACCATTTATTATTAAGGTTTACACTTTTTTCTTTTGTATTTATTGCATGCTTTTATTTTTAACTTTTTCGTAACTTTATTCCTAACTTTATTCATATCTTTTGCATTTATTGCATGCTTTTATTGGCTACACCTACCCCAACATCATTCACTTGTGTAACAACATGCTATTACTCACCAATTAGTATGATTTATTTCTTTTATAGGTATTATTACAATAGCTGGCTGATCATAAGAATGCATTGCTCAACTTTTTCTACAATTTTATCAATTTGATCGCTTCTGCTTTTCATAATTGCTATTACTTCACAACTACTATTAATTTCTTATAGATAAAGAGAATTCACTTTAGGAAATAAGAATTCACTTTTTTCTTTCTTCAGAAACATATATATATATAGCTAATTTCTTTATTCTTTAATAATTCTTCAGGAATAGTTTTAGCCTCCTTCACATTCGAAAAAGTTGTATAAACTAAAACTAAACTGTTCATTAGAATCATCTACTATACATCACTTAGATTGAAAAATCTCTTAAGAAAAAATAGAAGAGAAATCTTGTTGTTTCACTATGTAACAATTAAATTTTTGAAATTTTTTATTGTCAAATCCTTAATAGAAATACAAAAAAAGGATTTTACTCGATGAATAACAACGCAGAAACCAACAATTATCCCAGCAATTGCAGAAAAGAGTATTAATTAAATCTGTGGAGTTTTAGCTCTTTTTTTTTTATTTTATTTGCTAGTAGCTCACAGACTTTCATTTCTCTCCTTGGATTCTCAAAAATCCTAGCACATTGTGTGTACGTATCACTGTGCAGCCCTGATGGAAGTACAAAATACCCATGCAAAATCGCCTCAAATTCGTTTATTCTAACATCATTTTTGGATTTCACCCTTACATTCTTTATTAATCATTTGGGTATATCGTGTAAGTAGACAAAATTAGTCATCCCATAATGTACAGAGGAAAGTCATCAATCGATACGAGATAACTAATTACCATAATATAGCAGCGGCAGCAGCAGCATTCCATCGGTACTTCAGCATTGCCAGTTGCAGCGCCTATAGCTAAAAAAATTCATATGAACATTTGGCTGAAGGAAAATGTACTGCACCCACTCATTCATCTCTGCAATAAGCATTACTGTAATCAAAATAAACGTGGCACATTCATTCATATTGGTTGTTGTGCGTACGTGCATATTGGTAAAATAAAAGACGACAACTTTTTTGACGCTTTTAGCTTATTTTACACGCAGTCTATGGTTATAAGCAGTGTTGCAATGAATGATTTAGAAAAAAATGCAAGCGTTAATGCTGGCATGACTCACTTTAGTGTTTGAGTTGATGATATGCCCTTACAGCAGCACATAAATAAACAGCCGTAAATCAGAAATGCCTGCATGAAATTTGCAGACATTATGCAAGCAAAATACAACAAAAGACTATAAAATTCGCTGCCATCTTTAAATTTATGCAAAAAACACGTGATAAAAGACCATACATGGGGTGGAACAAACTTTAATAATCACTGAGCAAATTATAAGTAGCGTGTCAAAGAGTGCAGAGAATATCTAGTGTAATTTATCTTCTTTTGGTTTCCATTTTATTATTTTTTTTATAATTAAAATTGCTCATTCAAATAATACTGTGAGAAAAATTTTACCTCAAAACAAAGATCATCATTGCTTGAATATATTACCGTAAGCAAAATGCTGGATAATTTTAAAATATTTGTACTTTTTTAATGAAGATTCAATTTTAATTCATATTTTACCTCAAAATCAAAAATAATTGAAAATGACGCACAAACTTAACATTGGAAGGCTAAAAGCTTAATTAATGAAATAATGTTTAATAAATATAAAATTTAAATAATAATTTTTATGAAAATTATACAATTTTTAAGAATTTTTGTATATTGTCTATCAAATTGTAAAAACTATTAAAAAATATTAATTCATCAAAAAAATAGATAAATAGAACTTAGTTAATTATTTGATATGCATTGTACGGGAACTGCTCGTATACAGTGTGGCCATCTAACAGCTTGAATAATTTGCAATTATAAATGATTTTAATTATTTTTTAAATATTAAAATTAATTTTAATCACAATTCCAGATTTTATTGGTAGTTTTGGTTCTTCCTTTACTCGAGATTTTTTACGATATTTTTCGCTATATTTATCCTTCTTGTACTCATGTAAGCATAGTCAAACTGAAATAATAATAGATGAATCAAACACCACTTGATAACTTTAAGGAATCACTGCGTCGTAATATTGAATTATAACTGGATATTTCAAATCAAAACTTTAGAACCTCATTATTTTAAACCCGATGCTAAAATAAAAATCAATTAATTTCTCTGTCGGATATGACAGATTAAGGATGTAGTTTTCACTTGTTATTGATAGTAAAGATTATACAGTCTAAATTAATGATATCTCATAATAAAGTGAGATCGATTTATCAATTCTTTCATCGCTAATAAGCCGTATTTCTGTTCTTTTTTTGCATGCAACTACTTTTGAGCAGCTAATGAGAAAACATATGACCGGAAATACTGACATTTCGGCAGTTTTATTAACACTTCCAGACTTAATGAATTAAATTCAGCTATTAAAGAGAATTGTATACTAAATATTAACATTACTGGAGAGTAAATCGATTTCATTTGTTGTTATGAAAATTGGCTGTGATGAAAGGGATTTCCATTAACAACTACAACGCTACTTAACATAAACGAGCAGCGCAACTTTATTTTCTTTAATTGACAATGGACGATTAAACAATTTTAATAAAATTTTAATTCTGAAGTTTCCAATTATTCACAATTTTAAAGAAACAACTTTTTGAAGATTTTAAGAAAACAAAGTGATAAGAATTGATGTTGAATGCTGTATCTATATCATCTATTATTATTTTAAGTTTAGATATACAAATAGCCTACAAAAAGCATTTCCAGTGTCCTAAAATGTTATGATATATTGTCGGAATTGATATATACTAAAAACTGATACTAAAAACTAATCTTTTTTCTATTATATGGAAGCAGAGTTTAGCTTTTATATTCCTAAAGTCGATAACAAATTTTGGAATGGAAATCTGTCCAAAAGTACTAAATCGAAAATTATTTTCCATTTGTATATTAGCATGGAAATATATAAGTTCTTATGACTATATTTAGATAATACTTAGAACAAGCAATATCAACAATACAGTAATAGAAGTAGGGGAAAGAAAAGCAGTAGTTATAGCATTATTGCACAAATCTCCGGCACACGTATCGCAGTACGGTTTTCCGCCATTCTGGACACAAGCTTCACCCAATGCTTGACAATTCCATAAGCTGCTTAGGTTGTCGTTACAACCTTTCTCTTTTGTTTCTTCTAAAAAAATTAATCATTGAACAAAAAAAAAATCTAACAAATAAAATAAAAATCTAACAATTTTTTTTTTTTTTTTACGAATGTATGTTTGAATTAAAAAGATTTCAAATAGAAAAAATCAAAAGATGTGTTTCTAATCGGACCTGCTTGAATGTGGTTATTCTAGTTTTGATTTTTGTTCCAGTTCATTACTCTAACTGTTAATGAAATGTGAACTTATGCTTAGTACTGCTATTCCAGGTATTCCAGGTACCTCCTGTGCATATGTATTTTTAAGAACATACCACCTATCACGTATCTCTTCCTTATCTCTTAAATGAAAAAAAAAAAAAAAAAAAACTACAAGTGTTTCCATTCCTCCTTTAAATTACTGTTGATAGTACAGGTGACAAAGACTAAATTATAGTCTAACAAATATAACAAATGTATATAACATACGTTTAGCTTTTGAATTTTTGAAATTACTTACTACCCGAATTGTCGCATCTGAACCAAAAGCAATCGGTAACTGATGGTGAGCAATTTTCAGTAGTAGCTTCTCTCACAATGCTATTTTCAATTACACATCTGAGAGCTGTAAAGAAAAGATTTGAATTGTTAATAACTGTTACAGAGTTGGATGACAACAAAAAAAAAATGCTTAAGTTCGTTTTAATGTAATTTGATTCACACACTTTTTTACCAATAGGAAAAAATCGATAAAAAATTGTCCAAACGATATGAATACATTCTCTGGAAGATAATTGAATTTCATTCATTAAAGGAAAGATTACATGTTTCGATCAATGCAATCTCTTCCTAGGAACAAGATGGATGATCACAGCTACCATCCAAGCAATCAAACAAGAACTTCTTGTTGAAACTTTAAGTTTTAGAAAACACACTTCTTGAAATAAATTTAAAATTCAGAACTGAAGCAGAAAATGAATGCTATTACCAGTTGTTGATGTGAAGAAGTACATGAAGAAACTAGATGTAATAAGGCGGAACATTATAATAATTCAAAGATATTGTACGTCGATATCAAATGATGAATAATATAACAATAAGTTTTTAAAGAAGAAATTGGTGATAACGAAAAAAAAAAGGCAGGGAGGAATAGGGGAAGAATGAAGGAAAACTGAAGGGACAAACAATCGTATAGTCCGTTTATTTAGGAAGAATAAAATTATTGATATAAGACATAAAGTTGTTTACAGTTCAGCAGAGCATAAATGCATTTATTAAAAGATTTCTTTGACAAATTCAAATCGAAGATTAATTAGATTTAAATTACAAATCAAAGATGAAGTTGGATTTACAGAACGCTTACCTTTATTGACTTAATTACTTAAACAATTACCTATCCTTTATTCACTCTTCACTAAACAATTTCAACATTTAAATAACTCTAATATTTGAGTGATTCAACGTTTAAGTCGAAGACTTTTCAAAAATTGAGTGAACCTATAAATATATAAATAGCTTTAGTCCCTTATAATTCGAGTATTTGAGTAACTGTTCTGATTTAAATGAACAATTAAAGCACTCGTGCTCAAACAACCCATATTGATAAATAATCCAAGTGCTCAAGTAACTCAAATACCTGAGTAACCCTAGTTCTCAAGCAACTCAAATGTCTGGGTAACCCTAGTTCTCAAGTAACTCAAATGTCTGGGTAACCCTAGTTCTCAAGTAACTCAAATATCTGAGTAACCCTAGTTCTCAAGTAACTCAAATGTCTGGGTAACCCGAATCTTACACCACAAGTATTTATCACAATCAGATTCCCGAGATGTGGAATAATCTAAACGTTGGACCATAGAAACTTCTCCAAATTCAAATTTAACGATGCTTCTGAAACGATTGTTTGCAGAATGATACAGCAGAGAACCTTGTGCGTCTGATAGTAGGATAAGTGGGTACATTTGTTGTTTGTTTGTTGGTTGGCTGTGAGCTGGGTCGGGTAGGTATTGATGTGTGATGTGATGTGGTGGGTCAGTTGAATAGGTATTGATCTAATTGCTTGGTTTTAACTGCTTTGGAATTGGGGGGACTAACAATAAAAATTGAGCGAGAGTTGTTCATTTTTAGGAAGTGCATATTTAGGCCAATAATTTTGATGACTAGAAGACGGTATTATTATTAATTATATTTTGGACTGATTCTTTAGATATCTGTATATTCTTAGTTATGTGAAATAGCAAATCATTCGCATTCATTTTTATCAAGAAATAAAAGTAATGCCATCGATGCTTCTGTTTTACCAAAATTTGGATTAAATCAAAAATTTATTAGTTTAAATTTGCATTTGAATCTCAATTATAGGTATAATATCATTGGATATGTTGAGACGAAGTCGTCGTTTATCAGAAGCTAAGGAAGCAACTAACTACAATGGTGGTTCGATCAGTAAAAAAAAGATCAAATTTGATGATAATGATGTGATGACTTGTAGCAAAGATGGAGAAACTGTTGCTAATAACAGTTCGACGAGAGTAATAATCTTGAAATAAAGTTTGATGTTGAGTGTATTAAAATATGTTGAGTACTAGCATTTTGAATTAGCCAGGAAAAGTGAGAAAATCATTACCAACAAAATGAAACCATTGTGGGCCGAAATCATTCGAGATATTTATAACAATTGCAGGAGAATCATGAAGTGATTTTATCAAAGAAATCATCAAAAACAAATCTGAAAGATATGCCTTTGAAAGAAAGAAGGAAAACGGTCGATGAAAGGGAGATGTTGGTTTTGTTTTACTTCAGTAGCACTATTCAAGCCTGTAATTAAATTGTGTTGAAATACGTCAGCACATTGTGATTTTTTTGATCTGAGATAAAAGATTAGAAATTGAAGAGAGACCACAGAAATGCTAAATCTTACGTAGTAAAGAAAGGTATTTGCAGGCCATACAGTTTCATTCTTTAGAACGCAAAACTAATTCACTTACCAGCATTTCTCACAAGAAATTTGATGGTTCATTTTAGACCAAACTACATTCATTTCTTTTTTTTAGATCATATTACATCAGTTTTCAGTCTTGATCATAAAAGCTCAAAAATGGAAGATGTGGACTCTGTCAGCGAAAATGTGCAAAATTTCGGTGTTGATGAGAAAGCGAGCACATCGAATACTTATACGGAAGAGGCCATCACAGTTTGTTACTCATTCATTTGTTTTATTGGTAGACATTTCGAGGTTCAAGGGATCTAACTTCCGTTTCATTTCTCTAAAATGTCCATGCGGACTGAATGTGATGTCTGCAACTTCGTACATTTTTCTTTAGGAAACTTGTTGCTGGAATCGCCAGAAATGGATCATAAAGCTTGATAACTGGTCTTTTGAGGTCTAGGCAGGTTGTGGATAAAGACCGAAAATTATTTTTCATGATAATGGACTAAAAGAAATAAAATAATTGGAGTTGTAATTCATTTCCACGATAGCGTGGTACATTGTGTTTTTTCAGAAATCGGATATGATAAGTATGGATGGTGAAAGTTTGGCAGTAATTTTAAATCAAGGTTTGACGAGCAGTGATGCTGAAAAAATCGACGCAGTATTGTTGAAAGCAGATGCACGCACGATATCAGCAACGCTGAATGACTTACCAGTCACACAAATTATACCTTTACTTAAGGAAATTGAATATCGTTGCAGAAATCGCAGACATTTTGAGTATGTCTGTTTGTTGTTACAAATTACAAAGTTTGCATAAACTGCGTATAATGTGTTTATTATAACAGTGTATAACTTTTGGATCTTTATAGCTCATCAATTTTCAGGAGTTGTTGGATGCGATGGTTGCAGTGTATTTTTTCTAAGCATATGGCTTATCTCTGCACAGTAAGTTTCGAACTCACTTGAAAAGGATGGTGTCATTTCTCATTTGATGAGAAATGGTAAACAGCTTCAGCGTAAATTTTTGCATAAATTAAATCTCTATAGAAATGACAGTCGTTTCTTCTTGCTTAAAAGATACGGAATACAGTACATTACTATAATATAATTATATTATGGCAACAAAGGAAGTAAATTCTCCAAAAGAAATAAATTTCAGATTGGCACTTTAAAAGAAGATTTATCATCTTTATTTGGTTGGTTTAGTAAAAGAGCAGCAAATATGGATGAGCTGTTGCAAGTAAGCGGTAAACTTTCCTTGATCAATGAACAAATTAATCGTCGCATGTGTCCGCAGTTGTTTGTCTCGCAACAACCAAGTATTTCTTTCGAAGGTTAGTACAAGCCATTGAATTTGTCGAAAATCGCAAGGTTTAAGCATTTCTGGTTTAATTTTTTGATGCATTTCGCATATTTTTATTTTCTCTTCTGGATTCTATTGGCTTGATCTCCAAGTCTACTCTTATGAAGTAGTCTATATCTCTGGTTTCTGCTCCACTGATTCGAGCCATCACTTAGGTTTTTAAATCGGAAACTTATACATATATAGCCGGATTGGTTACTTTGTCTTTTGGGATATTTGCAATCTAGTCTTGAGAAATAAAGTCATCTCTATCTTGTCAGTGTAAAATATTAAAATATTTTGCTGCTGAATTAAATTCACTTTTTTATTTTTGTATTTCAGATGATGGTGACATATCTGAAACATCGGGTGAAATGAATGACCTTGACGATGAAGAAGAAAGTGTTGAAAGTGTGGAAAAGTGGTGGGATGACGAGGAAGTTGGATCTGGTGAAAGTCACTTCTCATCTGGTAAACGCTTCTTTCCTTCTGAAATTATCGATTTTTGTTATTGTGAGAAAAATCCTTCTTACTCATGATTAAATTACGCAATTGAATCTATGAATATAAAAGGTTATGCTTGTTCCAGATGACGGGAATGGAAAAGGAAGAAGCGACTTAAATCTCGATGGGGATAATCAGGATATAAGTGATGATAATAGTGATTATATTGATGATGACGATGATGATAATGAAAATGACAGTGATAACAGTGAAATAGAAATGGAATATTGAAAACTCTCAATACCCATTTCATATATTTTGCTCAATTACTGGTTCAGAAAATTTTTAGCAGTTCTCATTCGTTATGCAGAGTTTCTTTGGTCTGTATATAACTGCTAGATTTGATGAGTTCTAGAGGCCTTACATTCAGTGACGGTTCTGTTGTAGTTCGTAGAAATACTGGCATAGGACAGTGTAGTGGTTGTGTAAATTGATTAACCGGTGATCATGATCGTGATATTAACAGTTAATTGTTATAATTTTTAAGATAAATTGAGTTTGTAATCTTTTAAAGAGAACAACTCGCAACTTTTCTCATACACTTTGGATAGTGATATCAGTTATCTTAGTAATGTTGAACTTCAGAATCCGAATTTTGTGGAAAACTGAAATTCTTGTTCCATTTCTTTTTTCATATCAACCGATCATACAGTTTAATCTTTTCCTTCTTGTAATCCAGCTTTTTTGCTGATATTTCCACAACATTACTTCGATTTCTGCTAACTTGAATATTTTACTCTTCAGCTATATTTGATCATAGAATTCTTGCTGTATTCAAACTAGTAATGTTTTATTAATTGATAACAAATGAAAAGCTGATATTAAGCTGAGCTGAAATTCATAGAGTAGCATCAAATCATTAAATATAAGATATTGCACTTGCCTATATACTTTTATGTTTTGAACTTTGTGGGGATTTTAATTAATCGACGAGTTTTGACAAGTCACTGTTGCTTCACTTCAATTTGAGCATCTCTATGAATTTCATTTGTTGCTCTAGTTTGAACGGACATGTTGCGCTTCAAATTATCACTTCCATAAAATATCGCCGGTATCTGTTTATCGTCCATATTGCCTACATTTGGGCTTGTTGTTGTCATGAATAAAAACTTTTAGTAAATGATTAGCTTTTGGTTTTACTTGTCAAAAAATGGCATTGATTATTTAATTTTTTGTACAGAATTAGATTAGTTGGGCTTATATATAGGTAGTGAATATGCAGGTGGTCTTGCTCTTTTCTTGTTTTTTTATCAGAGATTTTTCTTATCGTCTCACCATGAAGAGGTTTTCCTATTTGATTAACTTTCTTATGTAAAGGGTTTTTATGTGCTGCTAATAAATAGCAAGGATTTTCATTACTTAAATCATTTTACAATTATATTTGTTTCATTGCGGTTGAATTTGGGAGGGCGGTAAAACTTTGACTATTAAAATGCACAATAAAAGTATATGTTGAGGTGTTTAGGACAAGAATAAATAAGAGTTCATTTGAGAGTTCGGTGAATCTCTATTATGAATTTAGTTTTACTACATAAATCCATTAATGGTCATCATAATAATAAGGGAATAAATTACAGTAAAACTTCAAAAAGTGCTAAGAAATAAATCAATACGCTCACTTTAATAAATTATTTACAGGGCTTCACATTTCAACTTCGCATTACAGACGGTTCATTGATCGTGACAGAATGCCATTTAAAGATTCGACGAACAAAACACCACGTCGCCATCAAAATGATAATTCTCGAATAAATAATAGTAAAACTCCAAAAAGTGCTAAGAAGTAAGTCGCATAAGTTGCTCACTTTCTCAATCGATTGCTTGCAACGGATTTTAGAGGAGCAAATAATATTACACACCAGTAAGATTCCTTATTAATTTTATATATTATGACCTCAGATAACTATTCTACATTCTACACAGTTTGAATCTGAGATCGCACTGTAAGACTATCTGGAAGCATAATAAGTTGTACCGTGCTGTACTTTTTCAGGGAAAATCATTCTATGTCACAGAAGACTCCAAGTCACAGTTCAAATATATCATTTAACAAATCAAAAGGTGGTTTGAAGAAGCGTGAACTTACACCTTCTAGAAATCCCAATTATAGTGGTGTTGGTGGTGGTGATCGATTCATACCAAATCGAAGTGAAACGCAATTTGAATTTGCAAATCATTGCCTTGTTAATCATAATTCTGAGGTTAGTTAACATTTTGAAATGTTCTCTTCCTTTTTTTTTTTTTTTTTTTTTTTTTTTTTCAAAATGATTTAGGATTTGTGTTCTGTTTTACGTAATGTGATTTGCAGTATTCCTTAATTGTACTACTCAATCTGTGCGCTTAATTAAGCTTAAACTTTCTGTTTTGCAACCCGTTTTGCGTTAAGCTACATAGAAAATTTTCATTTTACAACTTTGACCATGTTTAAGGTTAAAATAAAATGACCCTGTTGGTTTTGTTGAATGCTTTTTGGTAATTTAAAGAATCTTTGTTATTCTTGCAAAAGGATGTTTCATTTTTGCTTTGTATTTATTTCATATTTATTAACCAGTAACCAATAACAGTAGCAAGTACAGTGCATTGGTAAATTCATATTATTTGATAGGAAGTAAAATTTTATGGTTGTTACATTTGTGACATGTTTTGGTAATGGTAAATTTTAATTAGTGTTACATTTTGATATTTGATAATATCGTTTGCAGAGTGATTCACTTTTAAACGTATCAGCATCTGCACCAACCAGTCCATCAAGAGCTGAAAGAGCTTACATGATAAAAATGATGCGCGGTATATTTTTTGTTTAATTTCTTCATTAAAAATCATTTTTCTAAGATTTATTGTTGAATGATCATTTGAAAAAATAATTTTTTTTTTTTTTTTGCAGAATATTTATTTGACACTTATTGTTCATTTAATGTTCGTTTGCATACTTTTTAGCTAAATCAGCAAACGATGTGGATACTAGCATTGAGGAAAGAATTCTGTGCTATAAAAAGGGCGAAGCACCACTGCCACCATTAGGTTACACAATTCAGCCAAAGGTGCTTTATACATCAAGCACTTTAAGACCATCTGGAAGTGTTAGCAAAGGATTACGCTATATACCTAATAGCCCGGAACGCATCCTGGATGCACCAAATTTTATGGATGATTACTGTATGTTGTAACGCTTAGCGAACTTTAAAAAGCAGATGGAAATTATCTTTAAAGTCATAACTATTCGCATACTTTTCTATATATTTTACCTTCCCTATATTTCTCTGTGCAGGTTTCTTCATATTTCTAGAAAAGAAAAAATTAGGAATCCTTCATAAAAACTTGTCGAGAATTTGAATTTGGGCCTAATTTTAAAAATTGTCTAATTTTTAATTTTACTTTTAATTTACGGATGATAAGGAGGAACTGATCCATTTTGTTGATTTCATCATTTTACTAAAATAATGTTCAAAAATGTTTTATACACTAATACATGTTATCAAGTGATTCGTTCAATTTTTATTATAAATGTCATCATGATTTTCAGATATGAATGTGATTCATTGGAGCTGTGATAATGTTATTGCTGTCGCCTTAACTTATGCTCTCTATCTATGGAATGCTTCTACTGGAGAGATTGTTGTAAGTTTGTTAAATTTTACTATGTACTGGAATTCCTACTTTTGAGACATATTGATGGTGCAAGCATGTGTGGTAATCAAACATTATTGTGAGCAAAATGCATACTTGTATATTAGACATTATTTCTCTTTGAAGTAGTGATTCAGTGACTATTCATCTTCTTTTGAAACTTATTTCACATAATGATTGGTTTTAAGTGTGTCAGGTTTTATTTATAGACACTTTTTGAATTACCAGAAGAATCTGGTAATTATATCACATCAGTTCAATGGGCAGAACAAAACTCGATTTTGGCAGTTGGACTTTCAAATGGATTTGTCAAGGTTTATTTAAATAAAAAGAGACAAACTCATTTTATAAGCTACTGTTTTAAAGGGATCTGACCAATTTATATTTTATCTATGTTCGCAAAAAACTGATTGATGAAACAATTGTCGCTTAAAAGAATTATATAGTATGTGGTGTTCACAATCATTGTACATTTTAATGATCCACGTTATGCGAATAAAACATTCTGGAATCTAGCTTTACCAAAAATATGGGAAATTATCCGGCTAAATTTTTTTTGCAATGTTTTGAAGAAGCTATCACTTTAGGAAAATTTTTCAGTTATTCGACCCTACAAGAGAAAATTCTTTGCTACGAACAATGCAGTGTCAAATAAGTCGTGTAGGATGCTTAGCTTGGCGTCAGCATGTACTTTCTGCGTGAGTTTTGTAGTAATTTTTTCTGCTAAATTCTATGTTATAGAAAGCTTGAAAGAGAAAGATGACTTATGAAAGTTGTTTTGTAATTGTAGGTGACTTTAATTTGGATAGGAAGTTATTAGAAACAAAAATCAAATAAAGCCAGACATTGCCTTCATCGTATTGAATTGTTCGTAGAAATTTGACTGTACACAGGCAAACTTTTGTAAAATTGATTATCTCATTTTTTTACACTGCTAAATTTTTTGATGTTTTGAAGTGTAAGATCTCAGTGAGAATGGCTTTCTGTCTGATTTTTCACTTAAATCAGAATTAAATTTTATATTTGTTTTTTTTTTTAGCGGTTGTCGGTCAGGACGAATTTACCATCATGATGTTCGTATTCGGAATTTTCAAATTGGGTTTGTTTGGCTTTTCTCTTGGAAGAATGCTTTGTGCATGTGTTGAGTCTCACTTTCGTTGCAGTTACTTGTTAAAGAATGGCTGTACACACTTGTTATATGATAATGTTTGTTAGTGGTGAGAACTATGTATTGAATATAGAATTTACTGACAAAACTGGTAATGAGCAATAGAAGTTTTAAGTTTACTCAACTTCACGCATGATGAAATGAGACAAATAAATTATGGAATTTCTTGTTTTTGCGATCAAATGATGAGTAAGTAAAAGGTTTGACAACGTGACGTATTGCTGCCATATCTTGTGATAAGTATCTAAATGATTTATACTTATTACCTGATTTGTACAGAAATCAGTGCATTATGATAAGTCGTTTAAAGTAAAAGATAAATTAGATGATACAAGATAGTGCGAATACTCGCGTAGTTATTTACATTTACATGTGCAAATCGAAATTTGATATGTCGCAGTAATGGGCAAACGTACGTTGGTTGATTACGAAGTTTTCAACCTGATGATCGCTATCTTTATATATAAAAAGGACCTGTAAAATCTTTAGGATTACTGCTTAATGGAATGCTTAGTTCAAGAGAACTGTTCGCAATTTTAGTTGTTTAATCATGTTAATAATGAGTATTTAACGCAGACACTTTTAATATATTTAACACTTTTAATAATCTTTAACAAGTTTCTTTGTTCCAATATTAGCTTAAAGCTACGTTACAGAACATTTCCGGGACATGGACAAGAAGTTTGTGGTCTTGTATGGAGTAATGATGGTCACTATCTTGCCAGTGGCGGAGGTGACAATCTGGTTAAAATTTGGGAACCTTCAATGCTGACAACTGAAGATCCGGTGCGATTTCCAGTTGTTTAAAGTTTTACAAATGCGCTTCATTTGATAATTTGTCAAATTAATAACATTATCATCCTCGAAAACAAATCCATTAACTATTTTCTTAATGTATGGCACTGCGAACTGATTGAAAAAATTACATTAGCATGCATGTCAAATGTAAGTACATTGGTAGTAATCACTCTGTAATGACATCTATAATACACCAAATGCAGGTAATTCATTATTGCATGTGAGAATTTCTTTAATGAGATAATTCCTAATATTCAGAAAGTTAACAGTCTTATCATGGGAGTCAAATTTTACTAGCATTTTTCCAGGAATCACTGTATAGCTTCAGCGATCATCTCGCATCGGTGAAAGCAATTGCATTTAATCCTCATCAAGCACATTCGTTAGCAACTGGTGGTGGTACAGTTGATCGGACGATAAAATTCTGGAATCTTGCTAGTGGAACATTATGTCACAGTCAGGATACTGATAGTCAGGTGCATATGACATTTGAATCTGTGAATCGCATATAGACAATATCCATGAATTTTGTGCATGTCGAATGTGTGTATGTGTGTATTTTCAGGTTAATGCACTAGCATTTACATCGAACTATAAGGAATTAATTAGTGGTCATGGATATCCTGGTAATGATCTAAAAATATGGAAGTATCCGTCGATGAATTGTCTTAAGGTATTGCTTTTAATAGTGCACATTCAACAACTGATTTTTCTTTGTTGCATTAAAAGACTAATGTCAACGTCATGTGTATGTCATAAATTGAAATTAGAGTATAAAACTGTAACGTGATAAAATTCAAAAGATGTGATCTGTCGTACTGTCATGCAGTAATTTTCGGTTTTTCTTTATCTTTCAGTATTTTTCAGGTGCTGACTGGGCATACCGAACGCATTTTGGGCTTAACAATCTCCCCATGTGGACAGTATGTTATGAGTGCATCTAGTGACGAAAGTCTTCGTCTTTGGTGGTGCTTCAAAGTTGATAAAAGTGCTAAACTAAAATCAGGAACAAAAAGTTCCCGTTTGGTACAGTCTGTCCGTTAAGATATTTATGATATTTGTGAACTGTTTTCTGAGACGATTTTCTGAAACGATCCTTTTTTTCATTATTGTGTTTGGTGTCTTCTTTTCTAATTATTGTGACTTCATAGACAAGACTGCGAGCCATTTCAGTCCACCAGATTTTTTAATTTGTATGGTTATAGTGGATGAAATGTGGAAAATTAATTCTGGTTGATTTAAGTCTTCGAATATCTTTCTCCTTCGCGTCTTGTGAATTTCGGAATTTAGTTCTCTGTCTAGACTCGGTTTCTTTTTCTTTCGATCAATATAGGAAAAGAAAGAAATTGTTAGAAGAGACAGATATTATTTGTAATCTATTTGTATGACTAGCTGAAGTAAGTTTCAGTAAGACACTCATAATATCGAGAAAGGTGAAGGTATAATCAACTTAAGTGATAGTATGAATTGAAATAATAGCTGAAAATGGTGTGACAGTAAAATTCAGAGAAAGGTTAATTAATTTCACCGTACTATTTGTTTATCTGTGTTTAGTTCACTTTTGTTTCGTTTTGTTATAATTTTTCTAGTTTTCCATATTAACTGTGAAATATTGACTATGTTGTAGCTTTAATTTTATATTATCGTAGTAGCATATCTCTGTATTTACTCCTTATTAATATCTAAGCATGATATGATTTTTTTTTTTTTTTTCTGGAAAGCTGATTTATCCTTTGATCTGTTCGCTCCATTGAATCACAGTATTTAAATTGGGTGGAATCATGGAGACTTTTTTTTTTTCGGTCTGCATCTGATAATATTATATAACTATTAATCAAGTGCAAATAGTAATTTCTTTAAACTTTAGAAAATATGAAAATTTCGAAAAATTGCAAATTTTTAAACCGTATGAAAAGGATCAAATGTACACATGGTTTATTGTTGGAAATAGCTATTAATTATTTTGGTTCAGTTTCATGTTTTCGTCTTTGTCTTTCATCAGAGAATTAGGGTTATATCGATTGGTGTGAATAAACCAGAACGATCTTATTACTTGCTCAACTATTTGTTGTTGATACTGTATCTCGATAATATAGTATAATGCGTCTACTAAAAATGATCTGTTATATCAATCACTAAATTTAACATCATGTTTTAGCTTATATCTCATCTAGCTAGAGATGTCATCATATCGTATATTTTGAAATTGAACTTTTATTTAATACTCTATTATTTATTTACTAGTATCTGTCACTATTTTTGTGATTATTTACTTGTATGCTGCACTGTACTGCCTTGTTTTCTATCATATGTGTGCTATTTTAATATGTGCTGCATTGCAACACTTCACTGCATGCTACTTGTATTTTTATCATCTCTATATTTGTTACTGCTGTAGTATATCACTCAATCAGATGCATAAGATTGTTGACACCTAGTAGTAGAAAGCTGAGAGTTAGCCAAATATTCAATTCATTTTGCATGTTAGGTAGGTGCTTGGATTTCATAAATTGTGTATTGCTAATTGGAATTTTATTAGTATATTCTCTGTATCTTATTTTATTGCCCACAAATTACGTGAATAAAGCTGATCTCTTCTTTATTCTTTGTTTTCTCATCTAATATATATATATAAAATATATCTGCATTTCAATAGCCTTCATTACTTCCCGTTCTACTGCCTTTTTTTTTTTTTTAATTTTTATTTTATTCATACAATTCGTTATAAATTTTAAGATTTCTCGTTTTCTATCTATCTATTCTAGTATTAATTTGACCAATAATTTTGGCTAATTCAATTCAAAAGTAGCAATAATTTTACTAATTGATAAATGAGAATGACAAATTGTTCTATTTCCAATCAAAAATGCATCTCAAGTTTGATGGAATCCTACGTACATAAACTATAGAAATAGTACACTGAGAAGTGCTTCGGATTGATCGGTTGCAAATCAATAAATTTTCGTTATTGTCTAAAATGTGAGCTTTGTGACTTATGGAGAGGAGAGAATGACCTGTAGCTAAAGGAAGGAATCGATTTGAAGTTTTGGCCTTCTATGAGTTACTGGGACCATTTTAATTGATTGGGTTTAATTCAGATCAGATTTTATTGAAAATTGGAAAATGCATGGAAAAAATTGATGTGTGATTTATTCTTGGATTATTCTTTCATAAGGTAGGATAAAATTTTGAGTGAATTGGACAAGAATTAAAACGGATTAATATAGCAATGATAAAAGTATCTGATCAGATATGATATGATATGAATATGATTACAATAGAACCATTTTATTTTTTAACAGTCAACGTGATAATATATGATAGTGATAATAGATAATGATCGTATATTATGTAATACTTAAGGTCAACTATTTATTTGCCAAGAAAATCTTATGTCAATTTGATGATTATTGTATATGTTTTTGTCCTAGATAGATAGCATAGAAAATTAGTCTTATTTGATGAAAGTGTCATCGCTGTATTTGATTATTTGAGGAACATTTTGTTGAGTAGTCTCTTTCAATAATCTTTTAAGTTCATTATTGCTTATAGTAATAGTAATTTTTGGAATGATTTTGAAAAAATTAAATTGAAACCGTTTTTGAGAAAATTTTCAATTAAAAGTAACGGCGGTATACATTTCATACAGTATAATTAATCCATTTTTCTAACAATGTGTACCTGTTGAGTTGATCATCTTTCTTGATTTACCTCTCTTCATAGCAATACTTAAATTCTATATAAGGTAGTACCACAGGTTAGCGAAACTATACGTGTAGTAAAGGGGATAACAGAGGTATAAACTCTACGTAATTTTAAACGTTACTTACTTATATGATTGTAATATTTGTTGGAAGTAAAGATTTTGATACAACAAATAAGTTAGTATGGGTGTAATTTTACGTAATCCCTCTAATGTTACTCAATGACTTCGATAGTTCGGTTGATTCGATTGATTGATGTTTATTTAGTAAGCATCTAGGAGAGGAAGAACGAAGGGGGAAGCGCAAATGTGAGGAGGAGGAGGGGGAGGAGGAGGAAGAAGGGAAGCGCAAATGGGAGGAGGAGAATGGGAAGAGGGAAGGAAAGTAAGTCGGTCAGTAGATAAGCAGGATGAAATGAGTGAGTGTATTGTAGATGACCTGGTATAGTATGGTGTATTAGGAGAGCAGAGAGGGCGTAAAAGTGGTCAAAGAAGGCGCGCTTGTACCGTCATTCAGCAACGTTAAGAAGGGGAGGGGTAGTGATAATGGCGGTGATAACGGAGTGATAGCAAGTGTCCCACTCATTCCAGGTCTTCCGAGTAGCTGCTAGACGACGAGAGACCTGAAATGCCCCTAATACTGCTCGGGCTGCTGCCGTCCCGTCGTCGCTGCCGCCGCCGCCACTGCTACTACTGCTGTGGTAACAGTGTATGCATGGGTGGGTGGATGTAATCTGTGCGGAATGTGTATAAAACCAGTAGCGCGGAGGTTAGTGGTAACGTTGTATGTGTGTGTGTGTGTATGTGAGGGTGATAGGTATGGGCGCCTGTTTAACCTGTTACTTGGCAGGGACGAGGGGTCGAACTGGATGAGATTCAGTTGAACTGACCCTCAGAGCTGACTTATTGTCCACTCATTCTCTGTCACAACTGAATCAGCTAGTAACGGTCATTTAGAGAATGGAACTTACCAGAATTAGGAGACGGAAATTGAAGTAAACAAATGCAGCAAGTATCACAGTTAGTGCATACACAGTGTTCACGCTTGCACGTACTCACGCACACCCCACACACACACACATACATATATACACAGACACAGACAGACGCACGCATATACATGTAGACTAGTCGTTCTGAGCGGTAGGAGAATATATTATTGGGATGGAGGGAGGCGTTGTTGGAACGCCGCATCCTGTCCACTTCACTCATTTAGACGATCGTCGTTATGTGTGCGTGTGGTATGTGTATGTGTGTTGTTTGTGTTGTATGTATGTGTGTGTGTGTGTGTGTGTACGTGTGCATGCATGTGCACGTGTATGTTTGTGTGTGTCTGTTAAGTCATCTTTGTCACTTAAACATTTCTTCATCATAAGGCTTTTTTTTTTCTTCGCTGAATTAATGATTTAGACTGAATACTTTTAACTTTATTATTAGTCTTATTTTTGTCATTTTTAACTTTTCTTTACACTTATTAATATACATATATATGCTAGGATAACAAATTTTTTGACTTTTCATTTGTTTATTTCTGTGTAAGTCTAAGAATGTTTCATTCTAATCATTTTTCATTTGCTATTTGTTTTTAGAATTTGGAGTTCGAAAATAGATCAGAAGTGGAGACTTCAGCGGGCGGTAGTTTGAAACGGTACATTTAAAACTGTTAGATATTTTAGACTAGTATTGAATCTGGCTGACAGTTTTCATCGTTTTCATAATCACATTTCCTTTTCCTTCTTCATTCATTTTTCACGATGTCAGATGTCAAGTTTTCTCATTAAATTATCTCATTCGCTGGTTTTTTCACTTTAATATTTACTATTTCTGATTCCTTCGGTCACTTCCGTCAATTTTTCTGATCAGTGAGTTGTTTAGAGAAAATGGCAGAGAGATTTAATAGAGAATTTTGGAATTTTATGGTGAAGTAGTTCTTTAGGTCAAAAAAAATGGTCTTGAATTATTAGCTAGTTTAGAATTTGAAGACAGGTGACTCAGACCGCTACACGTGTTCAACGTTTGACGGGAAGAAAAGCAATGTCCACGTCCTCGGTGATGTCTGGTAACAGTACGAAATCAACTGGATGTAACTCAATTGCTATTGCTCCACCCATTGTACCATCACAGTACAATGCAAAAAATGCTGGTAGAAAGAAGACAAATCCGGTTTGTTTCTTTAAAAGGAAACAATTTCCGGGATATGGCTCAAGTACAAGTATTCTAGTCGTGAATCATTTGAATTTTTCCAGTCAAAAACTTCTTTATACGTTTTTTTTTAACAATTCATCTAGGCTGTACCAGAATTGTTTGGCTATTTCGACCATTATTCCAATAGCTGATTAACATTCCCCATAATTTGATGGCTTATTGAAACCTTTAGCAGTATTCATTTCCCTCCTTCAACAATAATTGTTGCCATTGGTTATTCCCGTTTTTGAATTAAGGTAATTAAGGTGTGGAATTTTTTCGTCGACCTGAAAACGAAGGGGTTGAGCGGTGTAAGGTGCCGTTATTGCGAGTGGATAACAAATGACCGCAGTCCAACAACATTAAAGTTTCATTTAAAGCGTAAGCATGATACGGGCCTTGGCGGAATTTGGAACATCGTAGAAGAACGAATTGGTATTAATCAACCTCAGGGCCGTAGTCGTTTCGTTGTTAATAATAGAAATGTATGTACCGTATCAAAAGAATTTAAGGCTTTTCCGATACATTAAAAATCAAAGGATTGGTCATCATCAAGAGCTGGTTTTTACAATAGCAACTTTTTTTTCGTATTTTAATGTAGTTTTTGCAAATCCTGCTTCAAGATTTTTATTTAGTTGGAACGAGGTTTGAATAATGCTTCATGTTTTACTTTTCAGGGTGAAACGGCTGCTTTCGTTATTCCTGTGGACACTGAAATGAGACCAGAACCGGACAGAGAACAACACTGTTACCCTGGTAAGTGCTCATTTGTTTTGCCGTTATAAATTATAGTATTGTGTAATATGATATTTCAAGTTTTGGATTCAATGAGGTTTTCAATTCTTCATTCATGATTTTCTAGAATGTTATGGTTACATTTTTGCTTCTTTCTCCCTGTTGATTTTGTTACTTATTTCTCACAATAATTGCATGCATATGTCTGCCGCTAATGACTTCCGGAGTGTTACTTTCGCGAAATACATTAATGTATTTAATAAGTCACTCGTAATTATTAACTGTAACCATTTGGTTCCAGAGTTATGAAAAAAAAAATTGTTAGCTTGGACTTACGATGGACTTCCCTCCGCAAATGTGTGGGCACAGTTCTTTGAAATCATTTCCTTTTTGCTTGAAAGTTTTTAACTTTCAAAATTTAAACTGATGAATTTAAAAGCTTTTCCAACCATTTATATTATATCTTGCATACATTTATACTTGTACACATTCTGGCTAGTATTGTACTTTGATTCACTAATTGAAGTGGTGACAGCGCCTGGTTTTTCTGTTGCGCATCACTGCTAACAATAAATTTGTGCTGTGAAGAGACATTAACTTCGATTTTGAAGAAGAGATCAGTTTTGACATGTAGCAGTTTTTTGTTAGAGATTTTACGATATTTACAGGGAGGCAATTTTGAATCATCAACTCATTGATTTGCTTGGGATCTTTATTTTTATTCAATAAATAGGCTTCGTAACTAAGGGATAAATTTTATTGCACAGGACAAATTTGTTAGTAGCTCAGCATTCAACATTTGATATGTTTGGTAGGAAACAACATTGTTAATCTTGATAACTTGTTAATGCCCAGTTAGTTGGACTGATTTTAACACATTTTCGAAATAATCTGAAAAGTGGGGAAGAAGCAAGAAGGTAGTAGTTGATCACTATACTGGTTGGCTGATGGAGTGTAAGTGCAGCTGACACTGTTACCGGTTGGAGGATAGTAGATGACAAAGGTGATGGGGAGTATATTTGGTATGCGGGGGAGGGGAAAATAGAAGGGGAGCGAAAGGTACGACACGGATGACGATGAGGTTGTTTGGTGGTAGAGGGAGATGGAAAGAGCAGAGACAAAAGATGAAGACCGGACTGGCCACCCTGACATACACATTGAACATTGCTTTACTGTTCTATTCTCTTCCACTTCCCCTCGTTATCCCCTTATTCCCCCCCCCCCCCCCCCCTACCTCTATCTTCCCTCCCCATATTACTCATCGAAAATATGTCTCTGCACTGCCCAACAACTTCGTCCTGTTTCTTTAGCTCCTTCTTTCAGGACATAAAATCCTCTACAGGGGGTTCGTTACTTTCTAGTCTTACATTCTCAATTTGACCTACTGTCTATGTTAGCAATTACTGTACTGATCTCGATAGCTTGCTTGCTTTTTTGCATTTGATTAGGTATGCTCATTTTGTTGAATTTTTGCAGCCGTGACCTTTCTCCGAAATTCCCTCTGAACGCATATATTACCCGTTTCTTTGCTATGAATAATAACAGCTGTGTATTCTCTGCTTCTGCAATTGATAACAGAAACTCGAAATGTTGTGAAAATATTGCACTGCAGAAAGAAATTCACGAAGGAATTAGTCGTGATGATAACAGGTGGATTGAAGATGATGGTGTTCCTTCGAGATTGGATGAAAATTGCTTTCGCAAACAGCAAACAGTCGAGAGTTGTCCTTCTCTGCAGAAGATTTCTTCATGTTCTAACAAAATTGATTGTGAGAGTAATGAATTAAGTGCTTCGGAGAAGTACGCCAGTTCCGGGTATAGAACTAATAATAGTGATGATGTAAATGCGGTAGCAAAAGCTGAATATTCCAAAAATGATCGACAGGAATGGTCTAGAATTCGGAATTCATTATGGATTAGTGGACAGGGAAATGTTCGTCGAGGTGATGTTATATTGAGACGGGAATGGTTTAAAGTGGGATGTTTTGATAATGAAAAAGAAATGTTTCGAGAGCAACTGAAGGGCCGTGTTTCTAGATGGAAAGTAAGGAAAGTAAGCACGGGTTCGAAGATTTTCTATCGATGCAACAAATTTAAACATTTTGGATGTGGTTATCGAATGTATGCAGAGATTCGTGGTCGAAATCGTATTGGTCTTTACGAGAGTGGTCTTCATGACCATTCATCCCGCAAATTCAAGTGCTTGAGTAAATTTTCTTTTTTTTTTTCTGAGCTTTTGATATAGAGCTGGACCACTGGAAAAAGGCTTATGTTGTCGCTACCATTCTGAACCATCTTGTTTAATTCAACCGTTTGTTATAGTCGGTGGTTTTTTTAATTTTTATATGCTTAATTTTGATATTGCAAGGTGTCAAAATCGCTACATTAGCTGACTTGCTGACTTTGATAGTTTGAATGTGATTGGTATAAATGATGAATTCTTTAATTAGATGCGGGGTGCCGATAGCTAGTTATGTTTATCTAGGATTTTGAAGTACGTCGTATTATTGAAAATATTAGATCGATGTTTTACAGGGTAACCAACTGTGGTCGGTATATATATTTTGGATATATATGCTTAAGATTATGTTTTCTTTTAGACTAAAAAAACTTTCAGAATTTAAGTTGATTTCTTATGATCAGTTTGAGATTGTTAAAGTTCACAGGGAATGCTTTGTTGAGTTTATGGTTCTTTATGGTTGATTTTTATAAGTTCCTTATTTGCGATACTATGGAACTGTGAATAATGTTATTTAAAATGTCTTCTAACATTGTGACTTCTCCAGTGTTTTATTTATAGTTGCTTCAAAAAGTTAGCTTGAAGTATCGTCGTCCTTCTTGAAAATATTGAATTATTAATGCCGAGATTTCACATTTTAATTATCATCGAATAAGGGATTCAAAAAGAATAAATGTTGGTGATTGATTGAATGAGCATAACGGACGGTATACATTTTCAGAAGCAGGTGCTCGTGTTGTTGTGGATACGAAGCCTAGTTCGTCACAACAGGCATTATTAGATCAATTCATACAGAATGCTACAAAAAGTGCGAAATTAAATGGCACACTTTCCGGAATAACTGCATCGGCATCTTCTTACGCACGATTAGCACTACCACAGTCTTCCAATAACATCAGTTGTGGACAGGATAACATTTTCGATCCGGTTTCTTTTCTTCTTTTGTCTTCCTAATAATATCACTGTTTTCATAGTGATTGTAACGTGTATTAAGAGGATTTCAATATGGTCTGGTCGAGTTTTTATTGATTGGCAGTCGGCATAGCTATTACGTCCAGATCAATATTAATATTACAAGACCCTTAGCATTTCGAAATTTTATATCTTTTCTCTTATATAGTTTTGTTACATTATCCTTTTAGAAAGGGTTGGTTGACGATAATCTAATACCGGAAAGATCTGTGAAGATTTTCTCTCCTAAGGTGGATTGTGATGACGTTAGTTTTCACATTTCTTTTCGAAAACCTTCACCATCGTTAAATTTTCGTAATGCAAGTGATGGACCGAATTTGAACCATTTTTCAGTATTTGTGGGAATCTAACTTTCCCCAAGAAGAATTTCGCACTTCCAGTAATCACTTTGTTGGAGAGATTTAAGTGTATTATGTGAAATGAATATAAATTCGGATATGCTATCTAAGGCATATGTTTCGTTCTGAATGGTATGACATAAAACATGTACGCAATTTCAAGAGTCATTTAAATGAAATATTTCATCCATTTAAGGGTGATGATACGGGTGAAAGTAATGAACCGTTGTATGTACTGAGTGACGGGAGCAATTTAGCTGAACTGTTGCGTGTTGCAAACGATATGGATTTGGCTTTTACCTACAATTCTAGGCGGTAATTCTTTCCTTTGCTTATTAGCTTCTTAAGCTACATAACAATTTTTGGTAGAGAATTGGTGTTTCATAGCTGACGAATACACACATCCTCATATTGGTTTGTCAGATTTTAATCGATTGATGTTCACAACACCCTTGAAAGTATTTTCGAGATTTATTTTTTAGAGTAGTAACACAGTAATGAACTTTGTTACAACTGTAGTTACATTTGTACAGTAATTCAAGTAGAGTTTTAGATTGGTATATTCTCTCAGTTATTTTCATTAATAATGTTCAAGATCATTGGAAAGCGTGGAATTTTAATCTCTCAAACTTTTTAGTACTGGAGAATTTTGCTTTGAATCAAATGCGCAAGATATGAGGGGTCGTTTGGTTGTGTTTGCGGATCTTGGAACCAAAGTTGCTGTACGCGAACGTTTTAATGGCAGTGATCTGAGGTAGAGATTATTGATTTGGTGTAAAAGTGAATTTAGCTAATAGTGTGAAGTGATTTTGTTCTTGTTTTATGCTTTTTTACAGTGACCTTTTTTAAGTGTGTAGTAAGGTCCCAACATTCCTATCTTTGTATTATATTATTTTTGTATAATTACAGCTACGAGGAATGGAGCAAAGCCGACTGGAAACAGTTCTTGTGGGCAGTACGCGGGAAATGCATGAATGTCCTTAGGGGACTTTGAATGCGATGTAAATTACTTGGAATGGCCTTACTAACTGATGTTCATGTTTTTTTTTTTTTTTTTTATCTCTTTGTTTACTATCACATATCATTTGAATGCCGTATCCAAGAGTGTTGCAGGGAAAATATTCCATCGTGCAGAATTGTACCTTCAGTACTTTTTCTGAGATATTCAGGCAGTTTATTATTAACCAAGGTAATTGTTTTATTCAGGAAAACATGTTAAACTTATGCAATAGTTTTGTTTTTTATGCAACTACCGTTATTCATTTTTTTGTTTGTTCTTTTTTTTCTTCAGAGTTTTTAAGTTATTCGTTGGAAAAATAAATCCTTGGATTTTTGATGTGCTGTCAAATTTGCCGAACAAATAAACACATACATTTGTTTTCGAAAGCTGTACTAATATTTTCTTTTTGCCCTGTTTTTTCTAGTTAAAATCGGTTAAGCTAGAGGAGAGCTCCATTTATTACTCATTCAAGAGTGATGGAAGAGAAAATGACAGCTTGCTTTTCTGACATAGGAATGGCAAACAAATAATTCAATACTAATATTCAAGTCATTATAAATATCACAGAGCATTTGAATTTGCATATGTAAAGTTTACTTTAGAGGCTTTATTTCAAATTCACTCATCTCTGGATGCCAGCGTAATTTAATATTTATATTTTGATGATGCTTGGTTGATGATTGTAATGGAAGGTTTCATTGATGTAAGGTGTGGTGAATGTTCTGGTGTGTTCTTTCTCGTTAAATTCAATGGTGCTAGGTTTCAAGTGGTATCTTTATTTACACTGCACGTCAAATATCACAGCCACTTATTTACTGATAGATTTTTGTTTGTTAGTTAGTTCAGGGGGAACTTTATTGATAATTTATCAGTAGTGAAACTCTCTGTCTGATACTAATACTTTGTTTTTGCTCTCGAAGGTTTAATCTTGCATTCTCTGTTATTATTCAAATATTTATCATTGATTGTAGAAACTGTTAATAACGACGGTTTTATCGCCAATAATCATCTATGGCATTGTGATCATTTCCATTGCTCACGTTGTAAGTCAAATATAACACGTGAGTATTACATAGATAATGGGGACGTCGTTTGCGTTACGTGTATGTTGGTACAACCAATGCCTTGTCATAGTTTGTTTTTGTGTCATTTACATAAGTTGTTTTTTAATTTTGAAAATGAATTGACTGCTTGTCATTTGCAATGTGGTCATTAATTTGATCATGGATCATTGATTTGATCGTGGATTCCTTCTTACAATCGATTTTACATTTGTATTTTCGTTTCCATCTCATATAGAATCTTTCATATGATATAAAACTAAAAATTGCTAAAGAAAAATTGAATTGAAATAAAGTGAAATCATGAATTTTCAAGATTATTTGCTTATATTTATTAACTGCAATGATAGCAATTGCATGCAATTAACGATTTTACTGCAATAAAATTTCTGATTGTGGAACCGGAATTTTTTAATTTTTAATTGATTCATCAATATCTGAATTAGTCCATCTTTTTTAATTCATTCTTTTCTTATCTGAAGTATGAAGAGCTATATATGTATGAAATTTTTTAAAAGGAATATTTTTTTTTTTTTTTTTTAGAATTATAAATGTATGTTTTATTTTAGAATGTGGATCTGCAATACACGAAACATATTTAGAAGCAATGGGATATTGTTGGCATCAGAAATGTTTCCTCTGTTATCGATGTCAAAAACCCTTTCCAAGTAATAATAATAATAATTTTTTTACATCATATTTCTTTTCTTTGTTAAAAGCTCACCTATCCCATTTTTATTTTTAGTTTACATATATTTTCTTTTCAAATTGTACGATTTATTTCCATCTAAATTATAAGAAATAGTAGTATAGATGTTTTTTTTTTTGAAAAAATTGAGAAAAAAATTTTTTCTAAATGTGTTTTATTTGTTGTTTATTCACATTTTATCTGTCAATTAATATAGAAAATTTTCAATATTGTTTTTTTTTTTTTTTTTGTAGATGAAAAGAGTTTAAATGGTTAGTTATGAACTCATTTTAAATAATAGCTTATTCTATTTTGAATCTTTAAATTTTGACTTCAATTTGAGTTTTAGAAGACAGATGTTAAAATGACTAAGTGGAATATTTTCAAGAGTACTTAGCTTAGACCTGAAATAACCGGATAGGCAAGTGTTATCCGGTTAAATGCATATGTTTTCATCACATCTTTTTCTTGTTTTTGAAAATTATTTCAAAAGGAACAAACAAATATAAATGCTTTCATTTTTAAATTTAAATTCAGAAGATCATTTGGTAATGACTTATTGTAAAAAAATGTGTTGAAGGTGCGAAATACTGGTTGCTAAATGGACATCCATATGATAATGATTGCTATTGGGGAGCAAGACTTGATGCTCAATGTTTTGTAAAATGAAAATTTTTTATATTTTATGGTTTACTTAAACTTTAGCAGTTCTAAATTATAGATGATAAATGTTAGCATAAACTCATTACCACTGATAATATTAATTTTATTTATCAATGAAATAATGATTATTGGAATTAGATTAGAAATTATCATGTTAGCCTTTTTTCAGATAAATTTGATCAATACAGTTTGATCATATGTTATAACATAAACTTATGTTGTTTCTAATCTAATATCTGAAAAAATTTTAACAATTTCAACTATCAAACTTTTTCATTTAATTAATCTGATCGATGTTTGCATAATTATTCTTTCTTGAAAAGAAAAAAAAAAAAAAAGAAGTGCTATCAATCAAATAGCGCTAAAATCTGTGGATAGTTTAGTTTCTTGTAAATAAATAATGTAAATAATTGTAAATAATAATTTCTTGTAAATAAATAAAATAAATAATGATACGCTATTCATTAATTTGTTCTTTAAATTACATTAATAATAGCATAGTTCAGAATGAAATCGAAATCTTTTAGTCACGCAGTGAAACGTTTTTTCCAGCAGCGTTTAATTTTATTTTTTGAAATATTATTGAAATAAAATGACAGGAAGCGAAAAATTTTTATTAAATTCTGAATATCCAAACATAATAAATGAGAAGATTGAGATATTTATTCAAAATTGCTTTGCAAATCATTGCACTTTCACTGAAACTCAGCTAATGTATTTCAAACTTTGCAAATTTAAATCGAACTTTTCAAAGTAAACTAAGTTCTATTACGATTTTTTCTTTTTTTTTTTTTTTTCTTTGAAATTTTTTCAAACAACAAAAAAAAAAAAAAAGTGATTCACATTACGATTCACATTAAATGATGAAAGATTCATCCTATGGAAAAAGGACTTAAAATGATAATTATTTCACAATTTCGTCAACCACCGTTATATTTCCTTCATTGTCTACGGCACACTTCCAAATCAGTGCTTCCAGCTTATCACCATAATCTGCATGGCTGTTATCATTTTGATAGAATTTAGCTTGGATTTTTCGTTGTAATATCCTTCCAGGTCCCTAGAAATTATCACTTAGCCTATTTTTTGATTATTTTTAATTTTTCTAAAACATTTATCATAAGTTTAAACAATAAAATTCTTTTTTTTTTTTTTTTTTTGACAAAAAAGGAAGAATTGAAATCACTGAAACGTTATAAGATTTTAGCTAATAAATAATCTAAATTAGAAAGGAAATAGATGAATAAATGCGATGTTTGTATGAAATAATAATCATTCATGTGAATTTATAAATTACAATTGAATGTATAAATTTGGATGCTAACAAATGAAATTTCCATTTTAACAAATTTGTAAGTGTTTGTTAGATTTAATACTAAATAGATAAATGGAAATTAGATTCAGTAATAATTCAAGGTGATTTCTCAGCCGTAATAACATTTCTGCTTAGCAAATTTAAATCTTTTCTATTATTTTGCTCCCTTGCTTCATGTATTCAATAAGCGCTGTAAAAAAGAAAAAAAAAAAAAAGTACTAAAATTTTTAAGAATGTTAAAAAGATAAAAATGCAAATTATCCATCGATAAAAAATACAAGCAAAAAAAGTATTTTCAAATGTTAACACAATAACCTGCAAACAAACAGTAATATATTCTCGCTTTCCGTTAAGAGTAACATCACTACCGGTTGTATTCCATTCCGTACTGTAAACACCGCCACCAATGCTTTCCGGTCGTAACTCTAAATCACTTCCTGATATGTGCAGCACACTAAAAAGAAAATTTGAATTTATTTGAGTTGACATCGAGAATTATCGAGAATGATCTGATCATTCTGTTGCTTTAATTACTATTCCGATTTGAAATGAGTAATTATTATAAATGGAATAACGATTCTCTTTTTTTTTCGGACCCTTTTTTTTTTTTTTTGGCAAATTGAAATAGTTATGATAAAATTATTTGAATAAGAGGAAACAAAATGAAACAATGTGAAATGAGTTATTTCTAGAATGGGAATTGATTAGTCAGATGGAGACTTTTAAAATTTCCAATTTTATCATTTTTATAAAATTTTCAATTCTTAATAATTAAACTTTCCCATTTTTTTCATTTTTTTTTTTTTTGGATAAAATTTTTTTAAGAAAAATGAATGCTTTATTTTTTTGGCAAACCTTTTCAAATTTTAAATTGATAAATTTTGAAGGATTAGATAAATTTAAGGAACAATTCTTAAAGTAATTGCTTTGTTATATATTAATTTGAAGATATTCATCATTGTTTGTTTTTTTTTTTTTTCTTTTCTTTTCAAGAATGCCGTTTAATTTATGAAATAATAAAATAAGGCTAGTTAAAAGTGCTAGTATTTAATGTATGCATCTGATTATTTTATTGTCATATTTCATTTATTCTCTGTATAGCTCATTTTTTTAAGTTTATCCTATGCTTTAAAATATACTAATTTAAAATTTCTTTTCAAAAAAAAAAAATGATAAGCAAAAAATAATGCAAATAATTCTTTAAAAATTATTCATGGGAGAAAATTTTTTATTTTTTGTAAAAAAAAACTATTTGAAAGAAAGTAAGAAAGAGGAAAATTAGATTAAAATTAAAATTAATTGGAAGTTTAACAGTTTTCTAAAGAAAAGAAACCTCTCCGAAAGGAAAAAAAAAACGGAAAAACGGAAAAAAATTACTGAAATTCAGTGGCTGGCTTAGTTGTAACAGTAATTTTATAAATAACTTCCGAACGAAATTTATATGTTCGAAGATGTACGTTTGATTTTACGTCATATTCATCCGTTTTTCTAAATCGTTCACCGTCCACTTTAAACGTTATTGGTTCACCAGTATCATGTTTCCTGAAAGTTAACAATTGCCTATCATCATCATATCATATGTCACCAAAATTAAATTGTCAAATTTTGCAATCTCTCCGGTTTCTGTTTTCTGTTTAGAAATCTGTATAAAGAGTATTTAAAATAAATAACGCTGATTTTTTTTTTTTTCTGAAATTATTTTTGAGGAAAAAATCTGCGAGGCAAAATTTTTTAGTTTATTCTATATTTTTCGAATTTTTTTTTCTTTTCCACTAAATTTCAACCTGAAAACTTTTACTTTTTATTACAATTTCATTTTCATCTAATATTACCTCTTTTTTTTCTTTTATAGCAAAATTCAAATTATAATTCTTTTTCTCAATTCTGCAAGTTGTGCAAATAAGCTTTTCTTTTACTTTTAACTTTTTTTTCTTTTAACAAAACAAGTAGGAAAGTGATTATTTGAAGAAAAAAAAGCATTCTACATTTTCCCTTAGAATTGCAAAAAAGTTAAAAAGTATTTAATATGAGCTCATTAGTAGTTAAAATAAAATTTAGAGAGAGTAATAAATTGTTGGCTTTAACCAATTTAAATAATTAATAATTTAATAGTTTTTAGAGAACTATGTAAAAGCTATTAAATGAAGCATTTAAAATATCAGATGATATACGATCTGATTTGAGAAGTTTTTGAAATTTCATCTAATAATTTCAACTATAACTCATTTTTCTTCTTAATAACGTTAAGCTATAGTTTCGGATTTTTGCGAAAATTTAATTAAACTAAAAAATGGAAAATATTCTTTTAGTTTTAAGTCAAATGAATTTAAACTATCAACAGGAAAAAAAGATTTAAACAATGAAAGATTGATTGTTGTATTGCGAATTCAAAATTAAAAAGTTTTGAACTTCCCAGGACTAAGCAATAAATTCAAACTAATCACTGCTCGCTGATCAACTGATCAGCTGATCCTAACCTCAGATTATCTGTTTAAAAAACTAATGTGTCTTTGTTGAAAAACAATATAGTCCAACAAATTTAGTTATTTCACTCATTTTATGATAGGAAAGTATGACAAATAAGCGAAAGATTAAAATTAAAGAATAGAAAATAAAATTTAAAGAAAATTGAATAAAAAAAAAAAATGATCAGAAGAGTTCCTTTTATTATATTAAACGTAAAAATGGGTTCAGTCATCATCAAAGAGCATTAATAATTGAATTACAGAACTGAAAAGCAACTGTAAATATCATTAGCCAAAAGTTGAATTTCATTACTTGATAAAATTAATTAATTAATGAAATTATGAATTTAATGAAGTTTTGAAATAGAATAAAAGTTTGTAAAACAAATTGTGCTCTCGAATAACTGTAGTTCATGTAATAACTTAAAACATTAATTAATTAATAAAATTAATTAATTTTACTCTCTAACTTTTTTATAGCAATTTTTATATAGTTGAAAAAATTTCATTATAATTGAAATAAATAATAAGGTCGAAAAAATTATAGACACCGAATAGAGAATTTTTTAATTTTTAGTTTGCATCAAATTAATTAAATTATAAAAAGAAAGAAAATAGCTATTAAGTTGAAATTTTGGAATAAAAAAAGGGAGAGAGAGAGAGAAGAAGAAGGAAATAAGACTTAAAATAGATGTGAATTTTTACATACCTAATACTAAACTGTAATTCGAAACCGGTTGTTGATGATGTTGGAAAATTAGCTGTTTTGATGTTTATCATGGATTTTTTATCTTCTGGCATTGAAAAAAGAAGTAACCAAATCTGAAAGCTAATAATTTTATTGCTTAATGAATTAATAAGCTAACTAGGACAATAATCGATATTAGCAATAAATGATTATATCATATGATAAAGGCTAAGTGATAATTGATATGAAGAAATCAGTTGAAAAGGAGAAAATAAAATGCATAATGAGTGTTTGTACAGTCAGTGATATACGTACGAGCTGTTCCGCTTTTTAATTTTGCTGCTCCGTCGCTAACGGACCTTTAGCAACGGACCTTTCAGTTCCGCTGTGGAAGGTGTATGCCTGACTGATACGGAGTGAAGGACAGACAGGACTGAATGTCGCCGCTGCTTAGCAAAGCATCGATTTCTCCTTCTATCCTAAAATCTAGGCCTAGTAGAGCTTAGTGTGCATGTGTCTGTCTGTGTATGTGTGTGTCTATACGTATGTCCAGGTGTAGAAAGATGTGCATGTATGAATATAATATACATATACAAATGATTTTTGTGTTCAGGCCTATAATCCAGAATGACTGTTGTGTTCAGGCCTATAATCCAGAATGATTGTTGTATTCATAAATGAGCCTACCATCCGGAAATAAGCTTAGCATATCATCCGATTATATTGTATTTTTCAATTAAAAAAAAAAAAGCGAAGAAGAAATAAGCCAATTTTTTTTTTCTTTTTTACAAACAGATAAATAACGATAAGAAAAAAATAGCTTACAACAAATATATGAGAAAATATCTTATCATTTGATAACTACTAAAAATGATAAGAGAGTTCCATTAGAATGTTGGTAGTGATGAAAGGAAGAAGAATTCATGAATAATGCAAAGTAAAATTTGTTAAAGCCACTCAATATACTTTATAGTATAAAGAAGAAAAAAAAAAGAAAGTTTTGAGGAAAAAAATAAAAAAAGAAAGATGGAAATGCTAGAAATTCTAATAAAATGAATTGTTCTTTTTTTTTTTTGTTACTTTGAAATTAAATTTTGCCTATTATTCCATTCATCTCTCTTTTTTTCCTTTCTGGAAAGAGAAAAGAGAAAAAAGAAGAAAAAAAATTTTTTTTTTTTTAAAGAAATAATTGTGATTAGCTTTTCGTTATTCATATGAAATTTAAAATTTGGTTAATTTTTTATGAAATATGACAGTGGTGATGTCCAATTTTTGGGAACATTTTGAGGATTAATGACTTGAAAAAGATGACAATCATCAAATATTGTAAATGATGAAAAGTAAACAATAAATGCTAACTTTTTTTTCAATCTCTTATTTTTAGGACTGATAAAAGCAAATAAAGAGAGCCTCAGCTAATTAATATCCAATTATTAGCATCCATTTCTTTTGTCACAAATAGCTTTCCATAAAGAATATTGGCTTTCCCAAAGTAAAATAAATAACTAAGAATGAAAAGTAACAAATAGCAATTTTACTGCTTCTAGTAACTCCTCTATCCGATGAAAATCAAATTTTGCTGTAATACTTGAAGCATTCTGACTATTAACGATAGCATAAGTAATAAGTAAGGAATAAATTATTTAATTTTACCATCTACATATACTTTAGTTTTTTTAAGTAACAATTAAAAATAGTGCATGCAATTAAAAAAATTTTATTTTCATGCATAAAACAGCTTTAAAGTTTGATACACTTCAATGAAAATAAATAAAATGAATGCTAACTTTTTATAAATTTTGTTTGTATAAACAACTGTGTGTGTCCTTTTCGCTGTGATATTTTCACGAGAAAAAACAAAAAAAAAACAAAACAAAACAAAAACTAACTCTTCAATTTAACTAACAAAATGTAATAAAATAAAAGGTTAGCGAAACATTTTTAACACATATAATTATAATTAATTCGTAAACAAATAATACAATGATATTTCAATGAAGAAATGATTATTACTTTTTTGTTTTTATCAATTCAAAAATAAATGAAATTAAATCAAATGAAAAATAAAATAATTTAAAACTTTCTCAATCTAACACTTAACAAAACTTCCACTCACTCATTGCTATTTATAACTTTTTTCCAACGATATAAAATCAACTTCAATTAGTTATATTTGATGAGAACAACTATAAAAGTACATTAAATGAAAACAATTTTGACCTTATTTATTTATCTATCATTTTTAGTCCCTCTTTTTGATCTTAAAAATGTTTGATCTTATTTGGTACCAAATTCAAAAATGCAATGCTAGCAAATGTATTCACTTATTCATTTAAAATAATCTTTTTTTTTATATTTTGTTTTGTTTTTTCAATTTCATTTTTTATATATAAATTCTCAATCTCAAATTATATAAACTAAAAAAAAAAAGAACGAAACTGTTGAAATGTGAATTTTTTATTAATTACAAAAATGATTTTCTGTTAAAGAATTGGAAATTTACAAATTTTAGAAATTTGAAAAAAATTCAAAAATTTAGAAATTTGAAATAGTAATGAAAGTATCAATAGATTCATGCATAAAAATCAAATGAATGAAGCAATTTTGGTGAAATTTCTTTGCAATGACTCTAATTAAAGTGTTATGATAATTTAGTTTAATGATTGGAACAAATGACGCATATTCATATTTCTTTTTATTACTTAAAAATAGCATTTGGATTTTTTTATTTTTTCAAATACTTATTTTCTGGATTGCTTTTTGTCAAAATAAAATTTATCCTTCGATTATTATCAGAATAAACAGAAATAAATTGTCCTACAATTATTTGATGTTTTCTTACTGTACAAAAATACATTCTAAATCTAAACAAAAAAGGCAGAAAAAAAATGGTAAAAAATATTAATGGAACATTTCAAATCTCTCTGAGAAAATTCTAAATTTAAATTTCATAAATAGATTAGAGAATAATAACAAATTTTCAATTTATTAACTTCCGAAAAGAATTTTGCAAAATTTTTTTTTGTTTTTTAACTTCTTTCTATGTCAATGATTACCAATACTGATAGACATATTTTTTTTTTAATTTATTTAAAAAAACAAATTTTCTTATAATTTTTGTTATAAATATTTGATGAAATCAATGTTCCAACTTATTAGTCCACTTCCGGTCAAATTTGAATTATAAGTAATAAACATTTATACGCAAATTATTTTATCATTTAATTCTGTTTATTTTTTGTTTATTTTTTCTTTTTTCTTAGCCAAATATCTCCAAAACATTACTTAGTTCTTTGATGGACATTTTAGTATTCACTCTTTTCTGGCCAGCAATATCTGGCTATTTTCATGACATATTAGGCCTAAGTAGTGTCTTTTCCTGCCAAAGACTGGATTAACTAAACTTCACTCTTCAACAGGAAATCATTTATTTAGGCTATCTTTTTTGTCTCTAATGATATTTCAGCAATGTAAATTAGTCAAAACTGACGGTAAACATCGAGCAGTATTGCACACGTACGTGTACGAATGATAATCCGTAAATTAATCACGTCCTATAGAGAAAGCCATATCGATTTTATCTTATCATATCAATGATAAATTTATTATTATGTAAAAAGAGAAGCATAGAGATTGCTTTAAATAATTATTTCTTTATTTATTGCATTGAAGCGAAACTACAAAATCCTTTTCCGATGAATTTAAGTCGGAAATTTGCTATTTCTGCCGGATTCTTTGTCACTAATATCCTTCATTCTTTCATTCAAAAAAGTACAAAAAGATTGAAAGCTATTTTAATCCAACATAAAAAGTTTTCCACTCGTTGCTAATTCTCATAAACGTAGCAAAAACTTTATTTGTTTATGCTATAGCATAAGAAAAAGAATCTATGATGTTTGGATTACACATTGTCATATTTAAACTCAATTATTAAAACCAAAGAGACATTTTAAATTTAAATTAAGTTTAAATTGATCGTCAAGACTAATTAAATTTGTGGCGGAAATGGCACAAATGAATTGCTACTTTTGCATTAATATCAATGTTTGCAGTAATGTTTCAGGCACGGATTATCTATTCAGTTTATGTATTTCTAATCTGTTCCATTAACTTTTTGCACTATTCAATTTTTATGGCTAATACTAATCAGCCAATGAAATAAATAGATGTAAGTCACGAATAGACTAAGAGCCAAGAAAAATAGCCAAGAAATGTTCACCTAACAACAACAAAAAAAATTTCCATTATGTTAGCAATTATTTTGTTTTGTTTTTTTTTTTTAATTAGACTTGTGCAAACGTAAAAATTTATGCTAAATGTATTGTAATTCTTACTTAAAACAATTTTTATCAATGAATAATTTTAATCAGTAATTTTAATTGTTAGATAAATAGAAAAAACAACTGAGATATGAAATTTCAATTTATTTTCGATCAAAAATAGTAATAAAACAAAAAGTTTTCGAACAAAAAAAAAAAAAAAAAAAATTACAAATAATATAAAAATATTGAATAGAAGAAAACCATAAAATGAAATGAAGCATTTTTTGTTGAAATGCTAAATTACTTATAAAATGCCACGTCACTTATATTCGAAACATTTATTTCATGCAATCCACATTGCTCCTTTCTTTTCTTTTCAAATCATTTAGCAATGAATGAATTAATTTCTTACTTTGTCTAATGCTTTCCTTTCCTTTTGCTTCATTTTTTCATTAAACTATAAATTATAATCTTATCGATGGCATTTTTCTTGCAATTAGTTATTATTACATCCATAAATATTTACCAAAATATTTTATCATTTTGTTTTATCATTTATCAACGCATTTTATCACCAATACTAATAAAAAGATTGACAAATAGTTAGTATTGAATGGTTTTATTTTAATTTTTTTGTCATAATTAATTAGTTAATCAATATTTTGTTGATAATAAATGTAAAATAGGATAAGCATCGATACTTTTTACAACTTTCAGTTTTTTGTTCGTTTTCTGGAAGATCTAATTTTATTATTTCAAATAATAACTAACCATTTAAAAGAAAAAAAATTATTTTGATGAGAAAGAATTCATTACGATATTAAATAAATTTTTTTGCAATCATTTCACTT